TATATATATATATATATATATATATGAATGATAGATTTCTTAATCTTCCTTTTCTAAACTTTTTCTGAATGTACATGTAATTGAATTCAAATTTCTTTCCATTTCAATATTTTTTTCCGAGATTTTGGAAATCTTTAACTTACTTTGACAATTATCTTTAAGAATGTAACGTCTTATTGCCAATTTGTCCTGATCCTTTGTTTAGGAGAATATATGGACTGGCGACTAAATATATGTGCGAATAAAATGAAAAATACTACACTAGAATCGAAGAGATCGCACGATAATATCGCAAGTCGGTGGAATAGGCGGAAATAATCTTGAAAGTTCGTTCCGATACTTTGGCTACGCGTTAATCATTTTGATGAAAGCAATGCATTTTTGAGATTTTTATTGAAACATTCCAGAGAGAAATTTCCCACAAAATGTTTACCCGATTTATGTTGGATTCAGAATATTCAGAGAGATGGAAAGATGTAATAAAAATTCACATAAAAATATTCAGTTTACTCTTATCAATGTAGATATTGTGTCTCGAGAATGTCCGTGTTTCTATGTAAAAATTGAATATTTTTTCACTTAGTTTTTTCGAATGTTCTTAACTCTAGGATACACTAGCTAATTTTTATTTAATCTGAACGTATTATACACAATATAATTGTGATAAAGATGTAGACAGTATTATTTATGAGATGAGGATATTAAACGCGTTTCCCTTGCTAATTTCCGTTTATCACAACGGGAGCAATATACTGATAAGCTATTAAGGATGCGTACGATTGAAATTGATTTTGATTATTTTGATTATAACCAGCATACGAGATGCGGAAAGCAAAAAGGCTGATGGTTTGTGAAATTTCGTGAAAAGGAATCATATTCATTCACATTTTGATCTTCAAAGTGTATCCTAGGATTACTTAGTTCTTTCTCTTCTCCACATTATACCGAAAAACGCGTGTATTTATCTCCAACATACTTTTTGTTCTTCCTCTTCGTGAGTCGAGACTCGACAGCACAAGTTTCGTCACACGTCTTGTTTCATGTATGCGCGCGGAAATCGTTCTAACATTATCATCGAGTTTTTTCGTCTATTTGTGTCGCTGAACAGCGATAAACGCGGAATGTAACACAAAACATATAACCACCTAAAAGCGCATGCAGGCATTGTATCTTAATGAGAGAACACAATAGTTCTTTTTTGGTGCGAGGATATTTGGAAATAAGTTGTACTTTACCAAGGAAGCTAGAGATTATTTAAATAAAAAATTCATATCAAATGTACCGAGCCAATCCGTTAAATTTTGTCCATTAATTTGCGGTGAAGGTCAGAGAGCAAAGTAAACTAATCTATAATATTATTCAGTTTGGGACTTGAAATTTTCAAAAAATGTGAGAGCGAAAGGATGTGTTTACATGTGTGTGTGTGTATAAGAGCAAAATTTAAAAAATCTAGTATAATTAAAAAAAACGCGAGAATATTGCAGATTTTCTGAAATCATAACATCAGAGAACAGATCGTGCATCGTGTACTTTAAATATACAGGGTGTCCCAGACCACCCGTCTCACCCGATTTTTTCGT